CTACTGAAGAAGGACGCGGCGGACGCCATCTTCCTACAGGAAACACATCAAAATAAGCGGGGCTCAAATGAGTTAAAGTCGAGCTGGATAAGGAACTACGAAACATCTTTTGGGACATCAAAGTCAAGAGGAGTAGCAATAATAATAGCAAAGAAATGTAATTTTGTCATAAACAAGGTATTGAAGGATGAAGAGGGAAGATATATAATAATATATGGGGAAATAGGGGAGGAAAAATATGTATTAGTAAATGTATACGCACCAAATGTGAAACAGCAAGAATTTTATGAAAAAGTGTTAGAGCAAATAGAGAATTACCATCAACAAAATGTAATATTTGGAGGAGATTGTAATTGCTGTATGGATTTAAAGAAGGATAAAACTACGATAGCATCAAAAGCTAGAAACATTGAAACAACGGAATTAAGCAGAGTAATGAATAAATGGCAATTAAAGGATGTGTGGAGATTGGTAAAAGGGAATGAAAGTAGATATACATATTATTCATCAGTACATAAGGTGTATACAAGAATTGATTATATTTTGTCTCCAAAAATATGACAAGTAAAGTGCTAAATGCTGATATAGGTATGATTAAGATTTCGGATCACGCTTTGGTTTCAATTGAGATTGCGTTGAAATGTGATTATGATGAAATGAAAAGGTGGAGGTTAAACACAAGAATACTAAATCATAAAGAGATAGTAGATAAAGTGCAAGCAGAATGGCAAGAAATATGGGGCTTCAACGAAAAGGGGGTGACAAAAGGAGTTCTATGGGACACTATGAAAGCAGTGACCAGAGGGTTATGTATAAAAGAGACAATTAATTTAAAGAGAAGGCAAGAAGAAAGGAAAAGGAATTTAGAAAGAGAAATAGAAGAGATTGAAAAAGCATATGTAATAAAGAGAGATACACGAATTTATGCTAGGTTAAGAGCAAAAAAAGAGGAATTGGATAAAATGGAAATAGACGAAGTACAAGAAAATTTAATTTATTTAAGGAGGGAATATTTTGAGTTTAGTGATAGGAATTCAAAGATCCTAGCCAAATCAACACAGAAAAAGAAAATGGAAGGAACGATAAACATGATAAAAGATAAAACAGGTAAATTATGTAGAGCTATGAAAGAAAAATTGAAAGTATTTGAGGAATTTTATAAGCTGTACCAAACCAAAGCAAGCCCCATAGAGGAAATTAGGAAATATGTGGAGGAAAATTGGGAGAGTAAGCTGGAAGAGGAAGATAAAGAATTACTGGAACAACCTATTAAGAAAAAAGAAATAGAGGAAGTTATTAAGAAATTAAAAGTTGGCAAAGCTCCGGGCTTGGATGGTTTAGGGACAGAATATTATAAAAGCTTTAGAGAAGTTTTAACCCCAAAATTATTAGAATTGTACAATGGAATAATGAAGGGAGATAAAATACCCGAATCATGGAGGAAATCATTAATAATATTAATACCTAAACCTGATAAAGACCTAACAGACCCAGGGTCATATAGGCCCATATCATTAATTAATCAGGATGCAAAGATATTGTCCGCGATATTAGCTAATAGAATGAATAAATGTATGTATAAGTACATAAAAGAAGATCAGTGCGGGTTTATAAAAGGAAGACAAATGTCAAATTTGATAGGGAGAGTACTAAATAAAATTCATTGGGCTAAAGAGGGGAAAGAAAAAGCAGGGATATTATCATTAGACATTTTTAAAGCGTTTGATTGTGTGGAATGGGAGACATTAAGGGAAATATTGAATAAATTCGGAATGGGAAATAGAATAAAAGGAGTATTAAAACAATTTTATTCAAGGAACTCGGCAGTGGTAACTATAAATGATGGAGTGACAAACGAAATAAAAGTGACTAGAGGAACTAGACAAGGGTGCCCTTTGTCCCCGATACTATTTGCCATGGTGATAGAACTGTTTGCTAATAACATAAGGAATGACAAAA